ATTAGAAAAATCAAAATGGCAGCCACAAGATTGAAACTGCCATCTTGACTTCTTTTTTTTGACACCCCTTCCCTGCCTTCAGGAATGTGTTTGACCCTGCCTATTTTCTATCACACATTAAAACATTCTACCTCAGTGAGATCTTGTGAGCCTATGTCAGAAAAGGATATTTGATAGAACTGGCATGAGCTGCACTGTGATGGCAAAGAAACACAGTTGCTGCCAGTCATAAAGTTGTCATTGGGGACAATGGTGGGCATTCCAAAAGGGGAGCAATCTCCCACTCATCCCTGTCTGCCACCTGAGGTAAGGTCTATGTTTGGGCTGATTCTTTGAGAAGACAAAGCAGAGAAGCATTGATTTCTGGGCTGTGTTGCCTAACTGAGTGGGAAAATTCCACTCAGTTTAAGCTGAGGAGAAATAGTTGAGTTTTAATAGCTGTCAGTAACTATTGCAATGTAATGAATAAGGGATAAAAGTGATTCCTGGGTGTTAGTGTTTTTTTCCCTTAGAAAAACAAAAGATTAGGTGCTGTTGAGAATTCATAACTTGTACCTAGGCCTATTAAATTTTTTATAGCAGTGGTCAGTGTCCCAGATCAGTCAATACCAATGCTCCTGAAGGATTAGCATAGGTTTTAGAGTTGAGTGTGAAGAATACATAACTTTGATACAAATAAAACATAGGCATTTCATTTTTCATAGCAGGGAAGAGGGATGGCAGCCTTTTAAGAAATGCAAGGCTTTATGCCCAGATGAAAATGTGTTTGCATTACATTGTGATTCTTGGCTTCTCAATTCTATCTCTGCCTGCTCCTGTTCTTTGAGAGGCATCTAGAGAAAACATACAGACATCAGACTTCAATGCTCTGTTTGGCTTTGTCTGCTCACATTTACTGACACCCCCATAGCTGGTCTCACAATATGGAAATGATGGTGCCCAAATAACTGATAGGATCATCAGGCTGTATATGCAGATAACAGCCAAGCAGAGGCTGAATACCCAGATATCACAGGATGTTCCCTGTTAAATGACCAGTTTGTGATAAGCCTGTTCACCTCAGAATGGTGGTGTCTCGTGTTCAAGGACAGACAACATATCTTTTTGACTGAGCGGAGGTGCCATATGAAATACTGCAGGTGGGAGAAGAGACACTTGCATCTTATTTACAGACTGTGCCTTCTGACATTGCTGATGGCTCTGGCTGATAGGAGATCTGTTTTGCTCATCTCCCCTCAGAGCTGTCCTTTCAGTGGCTGCCCTCCATACAAAGGGAGTCTGCTTCTGCTCGCCCCCTCGAACTGCCTGGCCTTTCAGCAGCACAATCAGCTCTTTCACTCATTTCAACTCTTTTCTGTCATACAATGCTAAGAAGAGCTGATAGGATAGACATTCTAAGAGCGGCCTGTCTTTGTGGCATCTTTAGTTTCAAAAGCCATAGAAGGGGAGTGGGAAGAGGTGAGGCAACAGGAGGCTCTAAAAAGAAGAGTCTGGTTTCTTTGAAAACACAAAGCAAGACTGAGCCCTTTGCTTAAAGGCCTTCAAAGGAACTGGGATTTTCTTCTTCTTGGGGTGTGTGGAAACAAGAGAGGAAGCATCTCTTTCTTCTAAGCATAACAAAAGAGAATGTATCAGGCGATGATAATATCTCAGGCACCTTCCAGTAGCTTCTGGGACATTAGTTTCCCAGTATAATATGCTTATAGGTTAAATCAGATTTCCCATCAACTACATTTAGCAATCAAAGTACTGCCTGGAACACTGTGGCTTTGCAACTCTAACCCATCACGATGACTGTATAGTTATATCCTGCTAGGCAAGCGAGAAGCATTCTCTCCTACCTAAATTGCAGGGCTCATGGGCATCCTAAAATGAGAGACTCTTTTTGGAGACAATGTATGTAGCCTGGATGTTCCCAGTAATAAAAATTATTTTCTAGAAATGACTGAAAATGCCTATCCTAGATTTAGACCAGAAACAAAAAATCATATTATTGTTGTTGTTGACAGCCCTTGTTCTTCAGGAACAATATACTTGGGAGGTGGGGGTGGGTGGGTGTCACATTATATGCTAGTAGACAGCGGAATTGATGCAAGGGGGCATTGTAGGCAGGAAAATACGATAGTAGTATTACCCAAACCCTTCTTCCTCTTGTTGGCAATTCCTCCTTAATTTTAGTACACTTTCTCTCTTATGTTGTATCTATTTGACATCCACTTTCCTTTCCTTTCCTTTCCTTTCCTTTCCTTTCCTTTCCTTTCCTCTTTCCTTTCCTTTCCTTTCCTTTCCTTTCCTTTCCTTCCTTCCTTTCTTTCTTCCTCTCCCCTCCTCCCCTTCCTTCCTTCCTTTCCTTCCCTTCCCTTCCTCCCCTCTCCCCTTTCTTTCCTTTCCTTTCCTTTTCCTTCCTTTCCTTTCCTTCCCTACCCTACCCTCCCCTCCTCCCTTTCCTTTCCTTTCCTTTCTTTTCCTTCCCTCTCCCCTTTCCTTTCCTTTCCTTTCCTTCCTCCCCTCCTCCCTTTCCTTTCCTTTCTTTCCTTCCTCCCTTCCCTTCCCTCCCCGCTCCCCTTTCCTTTCCTTTCCTTTCCTTTCCTTTCCTTTCCTTTCCTTTCCTTTCCTTTCTTTTCTTTCCTTTCCTTTCCTTTCTTTTCCTTCCCACCCCTCTCCCCTCCTCCCCTTTCCTTTCCTTTCCTTTCCTTCCCTTCCCTTCTCTCCCCTCTCCCCTTTCCTTCCTTTCTTTCCTTTTCCTTTCCTTCCTTTCCTTCCCTACCCTCCCCTCCTCCCCTTTCCTTCCTTTCCTTTCTTTTCCTTCCCTCTCCCCTTTCCTTTCCTTTCCTTTCCTTCCTCCCCTCCTCCCCTTTCCTTTCTTCCTTCCTTCCCCTTCCCTTCCCTTCCCGCTCCCCTTTCCTTTCCTTTCCTTTCCTTCCCTTCCTTCCCCTTCCCTTCCCTTCCCTTCCCTCCCTCCTTTCCTTTCCTTTCCTCCTTCCCTTCCCTCCCCCTCCCCTTTCCTTTCCTTTCCTTTCCTTCCCTTCCCTTCCCTCCTTCCCTTCCCTCCCTCCTTTCCTCCTTTCCTTTCCTTTCCTTTCTTTCCTTTCCTTTCCTTTCCTTTCCTTTCCTTTCCTTTCCTTCCTTTCCTTCCTTCCCTCCCTTCCCTTCCCTTCCCTTCCCTTCCCTTCCCTTCCCTTCCCTTCCCTTCCCTTCCCTTCTCTTCCCTTCCCTTCCTTCCCTTTCTTAAACTGTAATTTGTTGGGGAAGAGACAGATTACTGCCACTAAATCTGAAGAGTTCACTTGACTGGACTAAGGACTGCATGAAGTTGATATGTGCGTATGTCATGGAGCTTTCTAACCTTTTGCTGTCATCTAGCGGACATCTGGGTTTTTGCAGTGCAAATATATTATTCTAGCCACAGCTTCCTTAACTCACAATGTTACCTTGACTCCTACTGTATTTGTAAAATCTTGATTTTTGCCTCAGATGCGCTTCCATTTGCTTGAAAGGTAAAAGGAACACATCTAGGTTAAATGCACTGTCATTGGCATTCGGATCACATTTCTATATCTATATTTGAAGGGGATTTTAAAAAATCTTCAAGCACCTTGCAAATTATACAGCCGAGGCTGGAGTTAAATCTCTTTTGTTCTGCTCTGTTAGTTTCTCTTAATTGACTTGGAAATAAACCTTTGCTTGCTTTCCCTAATTATGAACTCATGAAGGAATTTTCAGAAGAAGCTGGATTTGATTTAATATTTTAAGTTCTTTCCAAATATTCTTCTTAGTTAACGTTTACAGAAGCTGCAGTCTTGCAAAATGTTTTCTACTTGGACTGGGTCTGCTAGCGTTCTCCTTTGTGTAGGTAGACAGAGAAGAAGCAAAGCCAGAATAACTTCAATGGAGCCAGAGAGCAGAACTATAACAGAGGGGTGACATTGAGCAGGAAAAGCCAGTATTTATTGTTTTAAATTGGTCTGTAGCCCAGGTGAGAGCTACTGCATGATATTTGAAGCTTTATAAAATTTAGTGAGCTTTCTGGTTGGGAGACCTGAAAGCAAGACAAACAACAAAATAACAAAGTGCCCTCTTTTGGGTTGCTTTACTGGCTTTTAATATAATAATTCCAAAATACTACGTTTCTACATACTTGGAGATATATGCAGTGGTGGGATTCAAATAATTTAACAACCAGTTCTCTGCCCGAATGATTTCTTCCAACAACCAGTTCATCAAACTGCTCAGAAAATTAACAACCGGTTCTCCCGAAGTGGTGCGAACTGGCTGAATCCCATCACTGGATATATGCCTCTTTCAGTGTCCAGGTTTTTTTTTTTTTTTTTTTTTTGAGGCTGGCTATATGAAATATTTTCTGGAATAGGTAAAAATTGTTTATGGTTCTGCATACTTGCTGAGCTTGTGTATCAGAACCACTACACTGACACTTAACAGTTGGCAGTTTAGGACAAATGTACCAATTCTTGATAGTGATGAATTGCCTATACGGAGGTGCCAGACCAGATTCAGCTGCTTTTTAAAACCTGATGGAATCCCTTTCTGTGTAGCAGTGGGTTGAAATGCATGGAATTTGTGTTAGGTTCCCCCTACACCCCCCCCCCAGGACCCAGTATATTGGAGCCTAAAAGAAAAGACCTGCAATTTAAAATTTAAATGAATTCTGACCTTTGGAATTTCTCTTGAGTACAAGATCTTAATATAATAGTGACTCTATATGGAATGTAGTTACATCTAGGTAAAACAGTAGGGAGCAATTTTAGTGCAATGCTTAAGGCATCAGGTTAGAGGCTGGGAGGCCAACAGTTTGAACTACACCTGCCTTGAGACAGTCAATCTTTTTCTGCTCTAGGAAGGCTACAATGGCAAACCATTGCTGAAAAACCTTGCCAAAAAAACATTGCACGGACTAGTCCAGGCAGTTGCTAGAAGTCAAAAACTGACACAAAAGTATACACATAGAGACACACGTAAAACAATAACACCACAACACAAAAACAACCCATCTCATCATTTACTACAGTATGATAATTTAAAACACGATCCAATCCCAGTACAGCCACAATTAAAAATGATATTGATTTGTGCCACTAAAAGGAAAGGTTCTTCTATCTTCATCAAGGTCCTGAAAAAAGTGTTTTAAGGGCCTTTTTAAACCTCAGGAGATCGAACTTGTAAAGTAGTTCAAAGGAGAGTCAATTTTAAAGAGTAGGAGGTAGCTGGGAGAAAGCTCTAAATCATTTGGACAGGAAGGAAAACTAAGTGCCCCTGATTGCACAGCAGAGTCCAGCACACAGAAGCCCGAATTGCAATCAGGTTATTCAAATAACGGGGTATTCTTGTATGCATGGCCTGGAAGGTCACCAGCAGCAATTTGAACTGGTAATGTTTCCTGAATTTAATTTAAATTTAATTCATTCAATTTAGGCACCATCTGATTACACAAAACAAACCCACAGTTTATAAAAACAAAACCAACAAAACCAGATGTTAAAAAACAAAGAACAAGATAGCAAGTCTGTCCAGCAACAATAGAACTCACAAGGCGGTCCATCCATCCTAACCCAAGGCAGGCCAGAGAGAATAGCCATGTCTTCAAGACCCTCCAGAATGCTATCAGTTGAAAGGCACCCAGATTTCTGGGGGAAATCCCAGCCAATATAGGGATTGGCAGACAGAACAAATGGTTTCTAATTCTTAGTTGTGTAACAGTAGCAGCGTGAAATTAGATGTCTCCGCTGATTCACTGCAAGTTGTATAGAGATTTATATACATATGTAGCTCTACCTTTTGCCCACATCTATCCAATTGACAACTGATTGCTTCTTATCTGCGGTACCACTACTTGCTGAAAGCAAGCTGGATGCCTGCCAAGTCCAATGACAGGGCAAGCTCAGGCAGAACTTTTAGAAGAAAAGAGTCTTTTTAACCAGTGTCTTAAGATGGCAGCCGTAAACAGAGTCCACAGGGTTGGTGCAGGTCACCAAGAATCTTGTAAACGAGTTCTGAATCTAAAGGAAAAGGAAGCAGATAGGTAAAATCCAAATTATTGTTCTAAGCACAATACAGCATAATAAAACACAACAAGGATGACCTTTGAAAGTTGTTCTCAGGATTTGCTCCTAGGGAATGAGGCTGATAAATTAGCCATACTGATCCTCCATCCAGTATATACCTGTGGTAACTTCATCACTGGAGGTTTTAAGAAGAAACTGGACAGTCACTTGTCTGAAATGGTATAGGTTCTCCTGCTTGAGCAGCGGGCTGGACTAGAAGACTCCAAAGTCCCTCCCAGTTCTATTCCATTCCATTCCATTCCATTCCATTCCATTCCATTCCATTCCATTCCATTCCATTGTTTCTAAATTCTCAGCATTGGCTCTTCTGTTGGCTTGTTTTGTGGAAAGTCTCTCAGATCTGTGGAGTTCTGCTCTCTGTTGATGATTCCTTATCATTGCATCTCTGCTTAGGAGTGGGTGGCTGAACTTCAGAACCGGTCAATGGGCAAATAGTCCTAGAGGTTAACGAATCTGTCTCGACCAGAATAATCATTGGCTCCAAAGCTATTAGAATTATCTATGTCAGGACTATTGGTTCTTAGATGCAACTGACTCCAGATCCTCCCCATCCTTCTCATCTGACCAGCAAGGCTGTTACACTTATCCTTTTATGTGTCTTATGTGCATTTTACAATAAAACAGGAAGTGTGTGTGTGTGTGTGGGGCGGTTCTCTGGAACTCCCTTCTTTGCCAAAATCTGCCAAAGAAGACAGTAAGGAGAAGCTAAGAAAGTTAACACTCCAGGTTTGAGGACTTTGGAATAGTTACTGGTAGTCCTTGACTGATGTTCACAGTCAGGATCAGAAAATTCATTGTTAAGAGATGCAGTTCTTCTTCTTTTTTTTTTTGCTTTAATTTATATGCCGCCCTTCTCCGGAGACTCAGGGCGGTTTACAATGCGTTAAGCAATAGCCTTCATACTTTTGTATATTTATTCAAAGTCAGCTTATTGCCCCCACAATCTGGGTCCTCATTTCACCTACCTTTGAAAGGATGGAAGGCTGAGTCAACCTTGAGCCTGGTGAGATTTGAACTTGCAGTAATTGCAAGCAGCAGATGTTTTGAGGCATCACGTGACCACACCAATTTTATAATATTTTCTTTGCTGCAGTCATTAAGCAAATTACTTGTGTTTGTCAATGAGACCTCACATGATTATGACTTGCAACTTCCTTCTGGCTTCCCCATTGACTTTGCTTGTAGGAAGCCTTCTGGGAAGGTCACAAATAGCAATATTTGACCACTGGATGCTGCAAAGATTGCAAATCTCAGCTGGCTGCTGAGCACCCAGATCATGATCATGTGATGTGACTGCGTGAGTACTGAGAAGGTTGTAAGTGCAGGGACTGGTTGCAAGTCACCTTTTAACCACCATTATAACTTCAAACAGTCACCAAAAATTAGTCATTAAGCAAGAATCACCAATTACAATTTAGACCAGGAATTCCATTTTAAACCTGGTACTCTCTAGATTACAACGCCTGGAATCCCTAGTCAGGCTATTCTGGCTCAGAATTCTTTAAGTGGGATTTTACATCTGGGTGGTTGGTGAAAGCTGCACTACAAAGATCAGTCCTGGCTCTGCAGATAATAGAGATACATCAAATTAGTGAACTAATCACCTCTTTAGTGAAAGAAACTAAGAAAGCAAGCAAGCAAGAGAGAAAGCAAGAAAGAGAGAAAGAAAGGAAAGAAAAAGAAAGAAAGAAAGAAAAAGAGAAAAAGTAAGTTTCATATTTTTTTTACACAAATAAAGCAAATGTTTAAATCTCCATCTACTTTCACGGGTACAAAGGAAGAATCTACTTACAAGAATCTCTCAGACTACATATTAAAGCTGTTAATGTATCTGGTTTAATATTTCATCCCAGTTTATTCTTAAAAAAATGTCAAAATGATAGCTGAGCAGAACTTGGGTGATTGCACAAAATATTATCAATGGTAATTTGGGTGAAATAGCTTATGTTTTTAGTGAGGATTTTGGTGGTTGCCTTCAGCTCTGTTTATAGGTAGCTGAATGCTCTCACCCTATTTTGGATAACTGAGTGGAAAGCTAGGCATAACTCTCTTTTGTTCTGCACTGGTAGTTCTCTTAATTGGCTTGGAAATAACCTTTGTTTGCTTAATTATTAATTCAGAAATTATTGGAAATAGCTCAGGTTTCTTTGATCTAGTGTCTCACTTCTTTCAGCATAGGGTTAACAAGTCAGAAGCAGTGAGGGGTTTGAGAAGAGCATTATAGTCTATTTGGCAACCCACAAAGGAAACTGGGGCACGTCTTGGATTCTGCAGGAAATAATGCAATATTCCCAACTTTTGTAGATATTCTGTTCCATACTTCCCACAATGTCTTGCTAGCTGGGGGTGATGTTGAGGATTTATTTTATTTTATTTATTTATTTATTGGTTCGATTTATATGCCGCCCTTCTCCGGAGACTCATGGCAGCTTGCAATGCGTTAAGCAATAGCCTTCATACTTTTGTATATACCTGCTTAGTAGGGCTTTCGCCCCCACCCCCAAGCGGTGTTCTTTTTTATACAAAGTCAGCTTATTGCCCCCACAAACCGGGTCCTCATTTTACCTACCTCGAAAGGATGGAAGGCTGAGTCAACCTTGAGCCTGGTGAGATTTGAACTTGCAGTAATTGCAGGAAGCTGGTGTTACTTAACAGCACTTTAGTCTGCTGCGCCACCAAGGCTCATCAGGATTTTCCTCATTGGAGGATAAGGATGAGAAAAAAAGAGAGAAAAAAGTTTCATAATACATGATCTACGATTATTTTTAGGATGAAAATAAGTATTTTCTTCAAAAGCTATGGTATATAATTAGGTAGAATATTTGCAATTATAACCAAGCAATGAAAGACTCAAAATCACAGTTTTATTTGTCTAGGATTTTTATAAACAAATATTAACCCTACTTTGACTCAAAAGAGTTGCTGGCCAATTTTTTTTTTCAGGTCAACCCAGATGGAGAAAATTGTTCTGTTTATATTTTATATGAACACCCCACATTTTTTACTTTCAAATTTGTACATATCTAGTGCAAATAAATTGCATATACTAGAACTGGAATTTGCACATACATGTGCTGATAATCTTACTTGGCAATGCAGTATGCAATGCCAAAATACCACACAGAAATGTAGATTATATGGAGAAACTTAGAAAACTACATTCTATAAAAGTGATTAGGGCATGACTTTTTTTCTTCTGACAAATGGGTAAAGCAATGCAGAAATAGACTATGGTTAACTAGGGTGGGAAAGTGAGAACCTGAATAAAATTGACTTAGACAGCATTGTTTGTCCCTACTCTCTACAGCACAGGCAACCAATCTACATAATGCTGCAGTTGTTCGCTAGAGTAAAATGAACTCTAGTTCTACTTCTAATGGGATGCAGTGGCTCAGTGGCTAAGATGCTGAGCTTGTTGATCAAAAGGTTGGCAGTTCAACAGTTCGAATCCCTAGTGCCGCATAATGGGGTGAGCTCCTGTTACTTGTCCCAGCTTCTGCCGACCTAGCAGTTTGAAAGCACATAAAAAATGCAAGTAGAAAAATAGGGACCACCTTTGGTGGAAAGGTAACAGCGTTCTATGCGCCTTTGGCATTTAGTCATGTCGTCCACATGACCACGGAGATGTCTTTGGATAGTGTTGGCTCTTTGGCTTCAAAACAGAGATGAGCACTGCCCCCTAGAGTCAGGAACGACTAGCAGATATGTGTGAGGGGAACCTTTACCTTAGTTCTACTTCTAGGTGCCAAAATCAAGGCAGCCAAAGAAGTATCATAAAATAAAATTCTTTTCTTTACCTTGCTAAGTGCTACGAATTTTATTTGACCCTGTAATTGCCCTAAATGGACAACTATCATTGAAATAGCCATCATGAATGAGGTTCCCCATCTTTCTCTATAATATCTAGTACACCTTAAATTCTGAGTTTGATGTTCAGCATTTCAATATAAATCTCACTACTGTCAGTGACCGATGCTTTTTGTGTGCGTATATGTAAGAGATAGATATAGATATATGTTGTCTAGAATTTTTTTTCCTATAGTCTTCCTGTTTGTCAGAATATGGAGTCTTGAATTTAAAGTTTTAAGCTCTATAAAATATGATCTTGCTATTGACACCTTCCATTTCTGCCGCTTGACAAGACAGTTTATGATACTTGAAAGCAATTGAATTAGGTTTTCTTGTGGGTTATTTTCTTGAATCAGGTATGGCTTTGTGCCCTTTTTATGACATGAATCCAATTTGTGATACTTAAGTGGAAATGCAGAATGGTAAGCTGTAGTTACGAATATGATTTGCAAAGAATTCTCAGGATGACATGCTATTCTGTAGGTCTGTATGCTGGCCCCGGGGATTTACAGAGCAGTGAGTTATCTGTTCACTCTTTTCAGTCCTGAACATAATGATTCTTTCTATACTGATAAAAAGAATTAGGAATCTATCTCCTAAGCAACATTTCTCAACATTTCTTCAGAATGGAACCGCTAATACTAATAAGTGAACTTCTACAACTATGATTATACTACAGCTGAATTATCTGTGACCATTGGGCACATCAGGTGATCCAGAAACATCTGAAGGACCATGACTTTTCTGCTCTTTTATACACACGCTGTACAGTTGAGCACCTAGGAAAAACAGCTACATACTCTTGGAATGCAGGAGACAGATGTTCCGGAGGACTGGAGACGTAATTGCAGAATGGATCCCTGGCACAGAAGGTAGAAACATGCAAGAGGATTTCAAGGGCAAGGAGACATTGTAATAAAGGAAGACACTAGCAGAGACTGAAAGTAGGAAGTAAAATAACTGTGCCACCTGAGGCTTCCCAGACGCTGTAAACTGCAGAATTGTAGGTATAAGCTCTATTCAAGGTAATTGGATAGATCAAAACATATTATATCTGGGAGTGCTAAAAAGAAAAAAAAATCAATGTAGTTTTACTTGGAAAAAAAGTTTGGAACACAGAAAAACATGTAGAAAAATAAATTCACAATAGAAATCAGTTATGAAGGCATGGTATATTACAAAACAAGGACTTTTAGCTGTTGTTGCTTAGAACTTTGGGAGTTTTCTAATATTTGCATTCCATCTTTGGTTAATGTTACTGAATATTTATCCACATACCTATTTGGGTTAAAAAAAACCCAAGTTCTTCTTTTACTCTTCTCCCATTAGGGTTTTATTTCTGCTTTTATCAGAGTCTAATATAATGAGACCGGGAGAGAATTTTCCCCCCTCATGATATATAATATTATACAATTCTATCAAATCCCCACTTACTATTTTCTTAAGTTAAGATACCCCAAATGTAACCTTTCCAGATACCAGATAAATTGCTTTACTCCCTTTAATTTAATCCAATTCAGTTTTAATCCACTTTTGCAGCTCTAAAATATCCCTTCTGAGGTTTAGTGACCTGAACTATATACCACTAATTTATGTAAAGACATTGTGATGTTGGCAGATTGATTTTCGTTTCTTTTTATAATTATCCTCAACATGGAATTTTATCATTTCATAGAGGTTGTATGCTGATCTATCTACCACAGCTTCAGCTCCTGTGGGTGATCATTTAGATCCAGTCACAATATATTATTCTATGTAATCTTTTTAATTATGGCAGAGTAGATAAATGTTAAATATATAAAATAAAGAAATAAATATTTAAGTCTGTCTGTACACTCAAAGTGAAATGTATTTGTCATTTTAATCCCATTTATGCAATTTGAAAAGATTCTATCAGAGCACTGAATCATATATTCATTTCTTAACCACTTCAGTGCTATCAAAACATGGCCAATTAACTGCATTTCTTAAATTCCCAATCATTTATGAATTAAAAGTGCTGATGCTAGCACAAGTTTTTAGAACCTTGTTGTTTGCATTCAGCCATGGAGAAAACTTCCTTCCTACTCAATTTCTATAATTTTTCATCTCAATCCAATTGATTATAGGCAGCAAGTATTGGTGTGGGTATGGTTTTCTCCTTTGTAGCTCCTTGATTAGGGCAATGAAGGAGCTGATTAGATGATTAGATAATTAATTAGGTATCCTAATCAAGGAACTATCAAAAAGGAAATCATACTTCCATCAAAACTGGGAAGGCAAGCTATTGTATATAAATAGAGTGCAAACCAGTGGTGGGATTCAGTCTTTTTAACAACCGGTTCTGTGGGTGCGGCTTATTTGGGTGGGCATGACTTGGAGGTCATGTGACCGGTTGGACGTGGCTAGCTGATCATGTGACCGGGTGGCCGTGGCTATGTGTATAGGGACTACTCAGAGGGCTGAAAAAAGTCATTTCTGACCGGTCCTCGCACTTTTGACTGGTCCTCACACTTATGACCATCCTCACATTTATGCCCGTTGTAGCATTCTTAACAATCATGTCACTCATTTCACAACTGCTTCTCTTCACCATGGTGACAAGATAGGATGAAAAATGTAAAATGTGAGGACTGTCGTAAGTGCAAGGACTAGTCAAAAGTGTGAGGACTGGTCAAAAATAACTTTTTCAACCCTCTGAGTAGTCCATATGCACAAAAGGACTACCCAGAGGGCTGAAAAAAGTGATTTCTGACAGGTCCTCGCACTTTTGACTGGTCCTCGCACTTATGACTGGTCCTCATTTATGCCCGTTGTAGCATTCTTAACAACCGTGTCACTCATTTCACAACTGCGGTGCTTCGTGTGACTGGGTGGGCATGGCCAGGTGGTCATGTGGCATCGCTTCTTTGCCCTAATGACAGTTTGCTGCAATGGTCATAAGTGTGAAAAACGGTCATAAGTCACTTTTTCCAGTGCCATTGTAACTGTTGTAAGTTGAGGATTACCTGTATAAAAGTACAAAAAGCTTCTTTGCTTGCAAAAAGCTGCCCTAAATACCAATCATTAGATTAGAAGTACCTGCAAACTGGAGTTACAAATCAGGGAGAGTGCCAGAGCACCTTGAGGAATTAAAATAGTTAAAATGTAATGATAACTATCAGTGGCCAACTCTTGCTCATAAAGTGAAACCCTTTAGCAGAGAGGTCATTTAAGCTCTCCGGAATGAACCAAAGGAGCAAACAGAGTATCTGTTGCTTGTTAGCCAATTACCAGACAAATAGACACAGGACTAGTCAGATTTCCAAAGCTGCTTCTTTTCAGGAACAGAGATTAACATTTTTCCTTCCAAACAACGCTGAATAGGGAAAATTATCCCATCACTAAACATAGTATTAAACATTACCAAGCACAGAATTAAACTTCACCAAAAACCAGTTTTAGACCAAAAGTCAGAAAGGGTATGTAAACTCACGTTTGAGTTTACAACTAGCCAAGAACCCTTGCTAAATGTCACTCATCTTGGTTCCTTGTCATTAAAAGCTGCTTCGTTATTCAATTATTTCTTCAAAGTGCTGATCATTGCACCCTGGCTGGAAGAACTCCAACAGGGGAATATTTCCTCCCAACAGTGGTATAAAAAGCTTAAAACAACCCTTCCCCTTTAAGAAAGTCAAGCAAAAAAAAAAACCTCTAAGAACCTCTGGAACCGGAAGTGACAGTACTGGCATACTGCCGGAGAAGCAGTTTCCTAAACCGGGCAATAAAGATTAGGCTAGGAAATAACACAGAATGTTGTAATTCCTTACAGGATTAGCCCTGTAAAGTGGAAAAAAACAAAAAAGATTTCTTTTAACAACCGCTTCTCCGAACTGCTTAACTACTTAACTACCAGTTCTACTGAACCGGTGCGAACTGGTAGAATCCCACCACTGGTGCAAACCCCACACTCACTAGTACTGATGATGTTATCTAACTGGGTAATGAAATGTCTGTAAGCAACAACCAAGCTGAGAGAGGACAAAGGACTCCACAGTTAAGATAAATGTACAGATTTCTTTTAGCTTTTCAGTTTCCTTATATTCCTTTGATACTTCTCAAATTTCTCTATTCTTCCAAAATGGTTTCCTGCTTTTGTTATATAAATATTTTATTTTTATTGTAGGATTTAATGTTATTATCTATAGGCTCCTTGGAATCCTTTTTAGCATCCCTTGTAATCTTTTCGCTTCATTATTTTGTGCAGGCTCATGAACCTTTTCATGTTCTTCAGTTAGGCATTTTTTCTTGATGCTGCTCATTAAGTTGTGATTTTTACAACTTGGTGGTCTATTCCTGCCCAATCTGAAGAACAAAATGGAATGGAACAGCTTTGTGGCCTTCATCAGGTGGCTCTTCCAATCTTTGTTGGAGAATACATTCGCGTCCTGATTGAACATTTGGGGAGATGTAGCCTAATGCACATGAAAGTCCTTAAATTGGGGACAATATGTCTAAATGTTCGGTCCATTCCTGAACAAGCATTTTTGGCTATCCTGCTCATTCTATAAGTGTCAAAAATATATTACTTTCACTTCCGGTTTGCTGTTTGTCGCTGCCAGACGTTCCTTTGGGATCGTCAGCTTCCATTGCCTGTCAGAGCCGCCTTCACAACGGAATGGCGGCTCGAAAAAACTCCATTTCCATGAGGAAACGGAGATAGAGCCGGCAGGGGTGGGTAGAACTCTCTGCGGAGTCCCAAAAGTTTTTCCTTTACTTTTGGGACGGAGCGGATGAGATGCCCCGTATCCCCAGCCGCTGCTCCGGGCTTTGGGAGACCTCTGCTGATGCAGAGCCAGGCGTCAAAAGCAAGCCTGCAAATTTAAGAGACTACTCAAAGAAAATGTGAGCTGGACCTGTAATACTGAACCGCAAGTATTTTACTGATTTTTTAAAAAAAATTACTTAAGAGAGAGGAGGAAAAGAAAGAAGGAAAAAAAGCCTTTTAAAATGGCGTCGGCTGGAGGAGAGGCTGAAAGGGAAAGTCCTTCCGTTTTCTATTACCACAATGTAGCGGAATAAATACCACTGGCTACATTTGTAGACAAAACTTCGCTCCTGTGTCTTTTTCTCTTTTTCTTCCCTTGGAGACTTGATATTGTTGTTGATTGGAAAGAAGTCCTTTTTTTTCTTTCTTGCTTCTTTTTTAACAAAGCCTGCCTGGGCGGAAACATGGCACTGAGACTCATAAAGTCAGATAAACAAGAAGGGGGGGGGGGATTCCCCCACCAATAACTTAAAGGAACAAGTCTTAATTCTTCAGTCTCAGAAACCTGATTTTAATATAATAGAATTTTTTATAGAGGAGATTGAAAGAAGGGAGGAGATTGTGAATCAGCAACTTGAAAAATTTAAGCAGGAAATTAAAGAATTGGTGAAATCCAAGTTTGATTCTTTGGAGAAAAAATTCTCAAAAGTGGCTAATGGTTTTACAGAATTTATGATACAGTTGGACACAAATACTAATGTACTAGAGTCTAAAATGGAAGAAATTCAAGATAAATTGGACAATAGAATTCAAAAAATTGAAAATGATTTGACAAACACTCAGGATAATAGCTTAGAAGAAAAACCTAAAATGGATGCTGATCAAAAGTATGGTAATGCAGAAAATCTGCAACAGAAGATTGAAAAAGAGATTTTAATGGTACAATATAATTTCACAGAATATGCGATAAGATTAAGAGGTTTGCAGGAAAATAATAGAGATGATTTAAGGAAAATATCTTCTGAATTTCTAGCTGGGATTCTAAAGGTTCAACCTGACAAAGTGTTTTGTAGGATTGACAGAGTTTATCGAATTAACTCCTGGATTGCCAAGCAAAGGCAATTGCCTAGAGATGTGGTGATTTATTTTACAGATAAAGAAATTAGGAATAATATCGTGCAAAATTCCTTCAATTCTAATTTGCAATTGTATGGAAGAAAGATTTGGATTTACAAGGAACTCCCACCTAAGATATTGATGGAAAGGAAGAAATTTGGTTTTCTGGTGAATGAGTTAAAAAAGAGAAATATCCCATTCAGGTGGGACGCCCCAGTTGGTATTATATTTAGATACCAAGGAGAAAGATATCAGCTAAATACTGTTGAAAGAGCGGAAGAATTTTATCAAAATAGGTTGAAAATGAACTTAACATCTTCAGGTATAATACAGGATAAGCAGAAGGAGCCGGAAATAAAGGTAAAATATCGAATTACAGAGACTGTACCAGATGAATTGCCTTTGGATTTATTGGATACCCCAGCTGGACTATCTACAAATTTGAGAGAAGTGGCATCTAACCTTAATGTGATGACTTATCAAGGCAAGGATAAGCATGGAAACCAATTAGGGGATATACAAGGGATAAAAAAGAAACATGAGATACAAAAACAAAACCAACAAGACCAATCTACAAAGCAGAATAAAAACCGACCAGATGATACACAATTTGTAGAAAGGAAACCAGGATGGAAACCAAACCCACAAAAAGAAAAGAAAAAAAGAAATAGGTGGCATAAAAATAGAAATTTCTAAATTAGGCAACAGTGAAGCCAGTGACTTTAAAATATGAATGATTATGTGTAAACACACAAGAGGCGACGTATTGGTTAATATCATCCTGAGGATTGTGACAGATCTCTGCATGGCCGTAATCTGGGGACGTGAACCGAGCCTTAAACTGATGGATTTGAATTATCCATTTTGGAATTTCTTTTTGTGTTGATAAACATATTATATTATCTTGAATCACAAGGCAAGAGAATTATGCTGGGGCATGCAGAAGATCGGGTTATTACCCACTACGATGATGGGAATTAATAATCCTGATGAAACCCACAATTATTACTATATGGAATATAATTATAATGTCACTCGGGTGGTTGTTTTTACTTTTATACATATAAGAAGATATTTACTACTGATGGGGGCAGATATGATTGAAGATCCTGAATAAACTGTTGCACCAGCAAGCTATGTTACCCGATTATGGATGTTGGTTCTACCAATCCAGTGGAAAGACCTCAAAGAAGATACTATATGGATTATAAATTTAAAGTCATTGTCTTTTCTTTTTTTTTATTTAGATATAATGGAAAATATAGACACATATTTTTAAGTAGTGTGGGCAGTGAATCAAAGATATTAAGAAATGTTGTGTATGGTAATTTTGCATGATAGTGGGTGAATAAGCTAGTTAGTAGATTGATTAGTCTAAGAAAAGGGATTTTTAAGTGATATATTTAGGGGAGTGGAGGAAATGGATAGAGTGGAATAAATGTTAAACTAGATTTTATGGGGAAGGCCGCTTTGAAATGTTATAGTAATATATATAGAAGATTAAATGTTAAAGTAGGACTTATCGTATAGTTTTAAAGTGGAGAAGTTATTCTATAATGTCATAGTATAATGTCTTTTTTTTTTCCTTTCTTTTCTCTTTTCTGAAATGTATGGATAAAGGGGGATGTTATAATATTAATAATATTTTTAGTAAGTAAAGGTCAATATCTAGAGGAGGGAGTAAGTAAACTGTTATGAATTAGGTTTTTTTTTTTGTTATGAAGAAGTCACAGGGGGGGATGGGTGGGGAGGGGGGGTTAGGGAGGGGGAGGGAGAGGGGAAAAAAAAGGGGGAA